CTGGCAACTGCATTGGGTTTGTCTCTTCGCCAGCCGTTTTTGTAAATTCAACGCCCAGCGTCGTTCGGAAAGCCATCGTCGTTCCCGTTCTGCAGGTTGTTGAGTCAATGTATGAGGCCTACTGTGAGTCCGTCGCAGCGGCAGCGCCTAGCACGTTCGGATAGATCCCTGGAAATTGAGTGCTACATGGTTTTGGGCAGGTTCAAAGGCTTGTTGTGAGGCTGATTGTGAGGCTTCTGATGCATGCGAAATGGGACTGAACTTGAGAAGGCAAGAGAAGGCGACTCGCAGGCACTTGCCCGAGATGCCCCCCCGGTCCAGTTTAGTTGAGCAGGGCCTGCCCTAATGGTCTGTGCTTGTTGTTTTGCAGGTTTCCGAGGTCGTCGACTTCTGAAGAGTGCTTGTATTGAAGGTTCCAGAATGTTTGCTCAGTGAGCTCGTGCACCATGGAGTCTGTGAGTCGGCGGCGCAGAGAAACCTCAGGCGCGGGCAGCATACAGTGCTAATTTCTAATGGTCTTAGCCGAAGGAAAAGCAGTTCGAGGCGTCGCACGCTGTACGTTGCAGAAGATGGGTGGTGTAGTGATGGGACTGGACACCCAAACGCGTACAGCGGCCAGAACATGCATACACTTTTTGCGTCGGCGGCTGGGTAGAGGTTACTACTCCGGCGATCGGGCATCAGTGGGACGTGCTAGATGCAGATTGGGCCGCAGCCCACGTGAGGAGAGGAAGCATGCACACACACAGAGATCTGTAAATATGTACGTATGTATGTATGTATGTATGTATGTACGTACGTACGTACGTACGTACGTACGTATGTATGTATGTATGTATGTATGTATGTATGTATGTACGTATGTACGTATGTACGTATGTACGTATGTACGTATGTACGTATGTACGTATGTAAGTATGTACGTATGTACGTATGTACGTATGTACGCATGTACGTATGCATGTATGTATGTATGTATGTATGTAGGTATGTATGTATGCATGTATGTGTGCATGTATGTATGTATGTATGTATGTATGTATGTATGTATGCATGCATGTATGTATGTATGTATGTATGTAATGTAGGTAGATAGATAGGTATGTATGTATGCATGTATGTATGTATGTATGTATGTATGTATGTATGTATGTATGTGTGTGTATGTATAGGTGTGTATGTATGTATGTATGCATGCATGCATGCATGCATGTATGTGTATGTGTATGTGTATGTGTATGTGTAGGTGTATGTGTATGTGTATGTGCATGTGTATGTGTAGGTGTAGGTGTATGTGTATGTGTACATGTGTATGTGTATGTGTATGTGTAGGTGTATGTGTATTTGTATGTGTATGTGTATGCACATGTACATGTACATGTAGATGTAGATGTAGATGTAGATGTAGTTTTAGCTGTATATGTAGATGTATATGTAGATGTAGATGTAGATGCATATGTACATGTATATGTATATCAGAGTGAGGGGGCCGAACGGTTATTCATTGTTCCTCGGTGCGTGGCTGAAGTGCGGATCCGCGGTGAGGATTATGCTTGTTGTTGTTGTTGTTGTTGTTGTTGTCGTCGTCGTCGTCGTCGTCGTCGTCGTCGTCGTCGTCGTCGTCGTCGTCGTCGTCGTCGTCGTCGTCGTCCCCCCCCCGCTACCCACCCGCGACCTCGCGACCCACCCGCGACCCACCCCACCGCCAACCGCGACCCACCCGCGATCCACCCCGCGACCTGCTCGCGACCCTCCCGCGACCCACTAGCGACCCACCCTCGACCCACCCGCGACCCACCCGCGACCCGACCCGCGACCCACCCGCGACCCAGCCCGCGACCCACCCGCGACCCACCTGCGACCCAACCCGCGACCCACCTACATTGTTCCCCCATCCCGACCCTCCCCCCTCCTCCTTTCCGTCGTCGTCCTCCTCCTCCTCCCCCTTCTCCTCCCTCCTTTCTCGTCGTCCCCCTCCCCGCTCTTCTTTTCCTCCACGCTCTCGTCGTCTGTCTCCCCTTCGTCCTCGTACTCGTCGTCGTCGTCGTCGTCTTCCTCCTCCTTCTCCTCGCCCTGCTCCTCCTCCCCTCCTCCGCGGAGCGAGCGCACACGCCGGGGGGTTGGGGCGGGGCGGCGACGGCGACGGCGACGGCGACGGTGACGGCGGCGGCGGCGACGGCGACGGCGATGGCGGCGGCCGCGGGGTGGGTCGCGGTGTGTCGCTGGTGGGTCGCGGGTGGGTCGCGGGTGGGTCGCGGGGTGGGTCGCGGGTGGGTCTCGGGGTGGGTCGCCAGTGGGTCGTGGGTGGGCCGGCTATGCAGAAGAAACCCGCCGCAGGCGCCGAAGTTTTGGCTTGTTCAGCGAACGTAGTTTGGGTCGCGGGGTGGATCGCGGGCTCTCCACCTCCACCTGGAAGGAATTCAAAATCAGCCCGCCGCAGGTGACGAAGAAATGGATTTGCACACGGAACGAATGCAAAAGAAACCCGCCGCAGGCGCCGACAATTTTTGGTGGGTCGCGGGTGGGTCGCGGTAGGTCGCAAGTGGGTCGCGGGTGGGTCGCGGGTGGGTCGCGGGGTCGGTCGGGTCGCGGGTGGGTCGCGGGTGGGTCGCGGGTGGGTCGCGGGTGGGTCGCGGGTGGGTCGCGGGTGGGTCGCGGGTGGGTCGCGGGGTGGGTCGCGGGGTGGGTCGCGGGGTGGGTCGCGGGGTGGGTCGCGGGTGGGTCGCGGGTGGGTCGCGGGGTGGGTCGCGGGGTGGGTCGCGGGTGGGTCGCGGGGCGGGTTGCGGGTGGGACGACGACAACAAACAACAACAACAACAACAACACAACAACAACAAGAATCCGCACGCGGAATTCCATTTCAGCCACGCACCCAGGGACAGTGAATGACCGTTCGGTTCAGCCCCCTCACTCTGATATATATATATATATATATATATATATATATATATATGTATATATATATATAAACACATATGTGTATATGTATATGTATATATACACATACATATACATGCTTACAGACATACATATATATCAGAGTGAGGGGGCCGAACGGTCATTCATTGTCCCTGGGTGCGTGGCTGAAGTGCGATTCCGCGGTGCGGATTCGTGTTGTTGTTTGTTGTTGTTGTTGTTGTTTGTTGTTGTTGTTGTTTGTTGTCGTCGTCCCACCCGCAACCCGCCCGCGACCCACCCACGACCGCGACCCACCCCGCGACCCACCCCGCGACCCACCCGCGACCCACCCGCGACCCACCCGCGACCCACCCCGCGACCCACCCCGCGACCCACCCCGCGACCCACCCTGCGACCCACCCTGCGACCCACCCGCGACCCACCCGCGACCCACCCCGCGACCCACCCCGCGGCCCACCCCGCGACCCACCCGCGACCCACCCGCGACCCACCCCGCGACCCGCCCGCGGCCCACCCCGCGACCCACCCCGCGACCCGCCCGCGACCCACCCGCGACCCGCCCGCGACCCACCCGCGACTCACCCCGCGACCCACCCGCGACCCACCTTCGACCCAAACCACGTTCAAGGTACAAACCAACATTTTCGGCGCCTGCGGCGGGCTTTTTTTTGCATTCCTTCCAGGTGGAGAGCCCGCGACCCACCCCGCGATCAACTCGCGACCAACCCGCGACCCAAACCACGTTCAGGGTACAAACCACATTTTTCGGCGCCTGCGGCGGGCATCTTTTGAATCGTTCTAGGTGGAGAGACCGCGGCCCACCCGCGACCACGTTCAGGGTACAAACCAATTTTTTCGGCGCCTGCGGCGAGCATCTTTTGCATTCGTTCCCGGTGGAGAACCCGCGGCCCACCCGCGACCCAAACCACGTTCAGTGTACAAACCAATTTTTTCGGCGCCTGCGGCGGGCTGCTTTTGCAGGAGGACGAGGAGGGGGAGGAGGAGGAGGAGGAGGAGGAGGAGGAGGCAGGAGGAGGAGGAGCAGCAGGAGGAGGAGGAGGAGGAGGAGGAGGACGACGACGATGACGTCGACGACGACGACGACGAAAGGAGGAGGGTGGAGGATCGGGAGGGGGGGAAGAGGAGGAGGACGACGAGGAGGAACATGACGACAATGGGAGGACGATGATGGAAGGACGAGGGGGGGAGAGGGAGGACGAGGAAGAAGCGGAGGAGGAGGAGGAGGAGGACGAGGTGGAGGAGGAGGACGACGATGACGATGAGAACGAGGACGAGGACGAGGAAGAGGAGGAGGAGTAGGAGGCGGAGGAGGAGGAGGAGGAGGAGGAGGAGGAGGAGGAGGAGGAGGAGGAGGAGGAGGAGCGCCATCGACAAGGAAGGTGGGGGCCACGAGGTCCGCCGGCTTGACGACGCTCGCGTCGCCCGCGCCCGCCCCCTCACTCTTATCCGCAATTGCGGGGTGCTATATATATATATATATATATATGTAGTGCACGCCTTGTGCCTCCCTCCCCCTCCCCGCTGACGCCGCCCGCCGCGCCCCGCGTCTTGCCTCCTCCGGCCTCGGCTCCGCCTGCTCTTGCCTCCCGGCGCCCTCCCCGCCCTCTCCCTCTCACCCCTCCCCCCCCTCCCCGCGCCACTCCCGGCTGGCCTCCACCGCGCGGCCCTGTCTGCCACTCGTGCGGAGGGCGCGGCGCCTGCTCCTCGCGCCGTCTGGGGCGGCGGGGCAGAGGGCCCACCGCAAGAGGTCGTTGTCCCCCCCCGTCTTCACCACGACGCCCGAGTCGCGAGCAGCTTGAGCTGGGTGGTTGAGAGCGAGCGGGCGAGCACCCTCTTCTCCCCGCGTCTCCATCCCATCCTCTTCACATCGTGCCCCCTCCCATCTGCCTCCCCCTCCCCCCCCCGTGGTCGCCCTCCCTGGTCTCGTCGGGCCTCGCCATCACAGCTCTCATCCCCGTCCTGTGCCCCTTCTCGCCGTGCACTGCCCTCTCCGCGCCCTCTCCTCTTCCCTGCGCCCCTCCCCCCGAGTGTGTGCCCCCGTCTTCGCACGCTCGCCCGAGGTCCCGCCAAGAGGCCGGTGGCCACGGGCGCCGACGCACCCTTCGTGGAGCAGCCGGCGCAGTATTGGGGTGCCTTCACAGGTCGGAGGCGCATCCAAACGTTGGTCCTCAATAGGGCGACCAGACTCGCGCGTAGCACCCCGCAGTTGCGCATAAGAGTTGGGGGGATGGCGGGGCCGTCGGCAGTCTGCGAGGCTCCGTAGAAGCTCGCCGCAGACGCTTAATTTCGACGGAATTATACAACGGGCCCGCCGCGAGCGCCGATTGTTTCGTCAAAGCAACGTGGGTGGGTCTCGAGATGGGTCACGGGTGGGTCTCGGGTGAGTCGCGGGTGCGTCGCGGGTGGGTCGCAGGTGGTTCGCGGGTGGGTGGCGGGTGCGTCACGGGTGGGTCGCGAGCGGGTCGCGAGCGGGTCGCGTGTGGGTCGCGGGTGGGTCGCGGGCCGGGTCGCGGGTGGGTCGCAGGCGGGTCGCGATTGCGTCGCGGGTACATCGCGGCTGGGTCGCAGGCGGGTCGCGAAAGCGTCGCGGGTAGGTCGCGAGCGGGTCGCGGGTGGGTCGCGAGCGGGTCGCGGGCCGGGTTGCGGGTGGGTCGCAGGTGGGTCGCGGGTGGATCGCGGGTGCATCGCGGGTGGGTCGCGGGCGGGTCGCGGGTGGATCGCGGGTGGCTCGCAGGCGGGGTCGCAGGTGGGTCGCGGGCGGGTCACCGGTGGGTCGCAGGCCTGGTCGCGGGCGGATCGAGGGTGGTCGCGGGGGGGACGACGACAACAAAAAACAGCAGCAGCAACAACACCATCAACATTAACAACAACAACAACAACAACAACAAAAACAACAACAACAACAACAACAACAACAACAACAACAACAACAACAACAACAGCCGCAGCCGCAGCAACAGCAACAGCAACAGCAACATCAACATATCTTACAATAACAACACGCATTGCAACACTGTTCGCTCTTAGCTGCTCGCGTGCAGCTCAACACGTACATCCCAAACCTTCGATACCCGCCCTGATCGTCTTCGATCGTACCCCCTTGGGGATATCGTTGTTGTCCCTGCCACGTGTATTTCGTGCAACGCTTAAGGCAAGGGAAGAGAGGACGGATGGAAGGAAGGGATGAGGGGGAGGGTGGAGGATGGAGCACGAGAGAAAGAGAGAGTAGCAGGAGGGGGGCTAGGAGCAGAAGACACGTTGCAGAATCAGGCGGGCAGATCTGGCGGGTAGACCTGACTGGGCGGGTCGGGAAGGCGGGCCCAGGCAGCCAGGTCGAGCAGGCGGGTTGCTGATGCGTGCGTCCTGCATGAATCGCGAGGAAGTTCCGAGCGACAGCGCGATTCCCAAATAAATCGTGAGGAAGTCCAGAGCGAGAGTGTGATTCCTGAGTGTCGAGGGCGCGGAGACTGCATACATTGCAAAGAAGTCCCACGTCAGAGCGCGATTCTTGTCTACATTGTGGGGACGTCCCGCGCGAGAGCGCGATTTGGGAATACACTGTGAGGAAGTATCCAGCGGGAGCCGTTGTATCAGAAACTCGGGGGCCAGGGAGCAAGTTTGATAATCCCTCGTCTTCCCTAGGGTGCGATCCCTGGGAAGTGACGTCAATTGAAAAAAAACACCACGTGCCCCAGAGGGGCGGGGATCAACAGTAAGTCAGAGTGAGGGGGCCGAACGGTCATTCATTGTCCCTGGGTGCGTGGCTGAAGTGCGATTCCGCGGTGCGGATTCGTGTTGTTGTTGTTGTTGTTGTTTGTTGTTGTTGTTGTTTGTTGTCGTCGTCCCACCCGCAACCCGCCCCGCGACCCACCCGCGACCCACCCCGCGACCCACCCGCGACCCACCCGCGACCCACCCGCGACCCACCCCGCGACCCACCCCGCGACCCACCCTGCGACCCACCCTGCGACCCACCCGCGACCCACCCGCGACCCACCCCGCGACCCACCCCGCCCACCCCGCGCCCACCCCGCGACCCACCCGCGACCCACCCGCGACCCACCCCGCGACCCGCCCGCGGCCCACCCCGCGACCCACCCGCGACCCGCCCGCGACCCACCCGCGACCCACCCGCGACCCACCCGCGACCCACCCGCGACCCACCCGCGACCCACCTTCGACCCAAACCACGTTCAAGGTACAAACCAACATTTTCGGCGCCTGCGGCGGGCTTTTTTTGCATTCCTTCCAGGTGGAGAGCCCGCGACCCACCCCGCGATCAACTCGCGACCAACCCGCGACCCAAACCACGTTCAGGGTACAAACCACATTTTTCGGCGCCTGCGGCGGGCATCTTTTGAATCGTTCTAGGTGGAGAGACCGCGGCCCACCCGCGACCACGTTCAGGGTACAAACCAATTTTTTCGGCGCCTGCGGCGAGCATCTTTTGCATTCGTTCCCGGTGGAGAACCCGCGGCCCACCCGCGACCCAAACCACGTTCAGTGTACAAACCAATTTTTTCGGCGCCTGCGGCGGGCTGCTTTTGCAGGAGGACGAGGAGGAGGAGGAGGAGGAGGAGGAGGAGGAGGAGGAGGAGGAGGAGGAGGAGGAGGAGCAGCAGGAGGAGGAGGAGCAGCAGAGAGGAGGAGGAGGAGGAGGGGGGGACGACGACGATGACGTCGACGACGACGACGACGAAAAGGAGGAGGGTGGAGGATCGGGAGGGGGGGAAGAGGAGGAGGACGACGAGGAGGAACATGACGACAATGGGAGGACGATGATGGAAGGACGAGGGGGGAGAGGGAGGACGAGGAAGAAGCGGAGGAGGAGGAGGACGAGGTGGAGGAGGAGGACGACGATGACGATGAGAACGAGGACGAGGACGAGGAAGAGGAGGAGGAGTAGGAGGCGGAGGAGGAGGAGGAGGAGGAGGAGGAGGAGGAGGAGGAGAGCGCCATCGACAAGGAAGGTGGGGGCCACGAGGTCCGCCGGCTTGACGACGCTCGCGTCGCCCGCGCCCGCCCCCTCACTCTTATCCGCAATTGCGGGGTGCTATATATTATTCAGTAGTGGTTGTCCAACAAAAACAGTCACAATCATTGTCAGATTGTGAGCTCGTGTTCGCTCGCGGGTCATTCAACACGTACATCCCAAACCCTGGACACCCGCCCTCTCCGTTTTCGATCGCACCCCTTTTCGGGGGAGGATGCACCATCGGCGCTGGCATGCCCCTGCCCGAAGACTGGGTTGCTTTGGCCGAATCCCGCCGAATCCAGCTGAATCCCGCGCAATGTCGTTTCCGGCCCAGCCTAGTTTGGCTTCGTGGCAAGCCACAATGTAAAGATAGTGTTTCCTCCATTGCTTCTTCAGGACACTCCACTGCAACAACGGTCATTTTCTGGCGCTCGGGTGGCCAAGCCAATATGGGGCGTGCCGACATGACATCACAAACGGCGAGCCAGCAGATTGTCAATACATCACACTGTACCGCACAGCGCAAATTACGCAGACAAACGGCGCGAATCTTTCCATAATCAATATCATGAGTGCCGTACATGAAGAAGTAGCGACATGATCGAATAGTTTGTTCCCGAAGACCTCCAGAGAGTTGTTCCTCAACTTGTTTGAATCCGAAGACGAAAATTGTACAAACCGAAGTTTTCGGAGAACCGTGTGGACTTCTTGCACATCGGTGGCGGGACCCTCGGCGGTGCCTCTGCACTGCGCGCAGCCAGGGAGGAGGGGCCGGTTCGAGCGCCAACAGGAATCCGCGCGGACATCCCAACATCTATTTTTGCGTTGATTTGTTTTGATTTGTGCGTTGATTTGTGCTCTTCGTTCTGATTTGTGCGTTGATTTGTGCTGATTTGTGCGTTGATATGTGCGCGGACTATTTTTGCGTTGATTTGTGCTCTTCTGCTCGGACCCCCCGCTGGCCCCGGGCGGCGCCCCGAAGGCTTCGACCGGCGCACCCGCGGCGGCAAGCTGCGACCCCAGGACGTGGTGACGCCCCTGGAGTTCGAGAGCGCGCTGGGGGCGTCCTTCGCGGGCGCGCGGGGCGGGGCTCCCATTAGGAGACCACATGCGAACCCTACCCCTACCCCCCACGATTTCTGAGGGGGAGGGTGGGGTTCACTTCGCTCGAGAGCTCTCGAGCGAAGTGAACCCAATTCTCGGCCCAATTCTGGGTACATGCTGAAGCCAGACGGCCACGCGTCTTTGTGTAGAATCCGGGGGTGGACAGACCTCCTCCCCTGACACGTCGATCAGCGAATTGGCCGTTTCCGTCTCGCGAGAGGGCGTCGCGGCCGTCATGGTTGCGGGTCCAGGTCCGTCGGTTTCGGTCCCAGGCCGTTCTCATGGAAGGGTGGCTTGCTAGATGGAAGTCCTGTCCACCGCCGATAGAAAAGCACTCAGGTTAACATGACCGTGGGTCTGTGAGGAGTCGCAACCCCGCAGAACGCGTCGCCGCACGCCGGCGTCACGCCCACTCCGCACCCGTCCGCGCCGCAGCTGTTGCCGCAGCCACGCCTCCGCAGCACCCCGCTCCACCACCAGCGTAGCCCACCCTAAGGATATCCAGGAGTGCACGTTTCCACCCGCCCATCTGCTCGCTCCTCGACCCGCCTCGTCACCTGTCTCGGCATGGCGACACTTTTCTGTCGGGTAGTCGGCCTGCAGGGCCAGCGAATCGCCACCCCCTTATAGTGCAGTAGACCCCTCCCCCCTATCCCGCTCGAGAGTTTACTATCCTTGGCCAGTGCACATTTGGTCGGGAGAGAGGGGCGGCAAGGCCGAACTTCAATTAGCGCGGCGGGATGTTGTGCTAATTGAAATTCGGCCTGGCTAATTGAAGATCTTCTTATGTTGGCTAGCAACATCATCGAAAACGTGTGGCATGGCAATGGGGGTCTCGCCATTCCAGCTTTCGCAGGTCACGAATGTGCGGCAGGGCTATGGGATTCTCTCGATTTCAGGTTTCCCAAGTCACACACGTGTGGCACGGCTGTGGGATTTTCACGTTCTCAGCCTTTCCCGAGCCTTTATGCGAGTTCTCCGAGATTGTTCGCAAGCGAGGTTTCGTGGCGAGGAGCGCCAATCACCTCCAGAGCGCTGGCCAACTTTGAGGTCTCAAGAGCACGTGACAAGGATCATCATCACCATCATCAGCATCATCAGCATCAACATCCACAACATCTTGCTGCTGGGACGAAGCATTTACCACCTTCCCGGGGGGGTCGGAACATCTCGTGCTTCGCGATAGAACATCGGGGCGAAAGACAATCATATGCAGGTGCGAGTATCGCGAAACAGGTGAAGTGGAGCAGGGGAACCAGCAAAATGACCGCGGCGTCCAATCTGCCCCCGGTGGAGCTCCCCATGAGGCCACGAAGCGTGCGCGGGGTGTGCCGAACAGGTTGCGGGTACGCCGTGCGGACTGTGCCACTGGGGCCTTCGTGCAGCTTTTTCCGAGGCCGCCACACGTTTGAGGGGTGTGCCGAATCTGGCACGGGTACGCCGTGCGAGCTGTGTCAGTGTGTCCTTCGGTGGAGCTCCTTATGGGGCCACGAAGCGTGTGAGAGGTGTGCCGAACTGGGTGACGGTACGCCATGCGGACCCTGCCGGTGGAATTTTTCATTGAGCTCCTTATTGCATTATGGGGATGCTAAGCGTGTGAGGGTTGTGCCACATGGCGCGCGTGTACGCCATGCGGGTGTGATGTGTGGACCTTGCCGCTGGGGCCTTCGGTGGAGTTCCCCGGAGTGCCATTGGAATCTTCGATGGAGCTCCTGTTTGGGCCACGAGGCGTGTGAGGGGTGTGCCGAACCGGGTGAGGGTAAGCCATGCGGACGGCGCCGCTGGGTCCTTCAGCGGAGCTCTCTTTAGAACCACGGAACGTGTGCGGGGTGTGCCGAATCTGGCCTGGGTACGCCTTTCGAACTCTGTTACCTGGTCCTTCGGTGGGGCTCCCCATGAGGCCACGAAACGTATGAGGGGTGGGCCGGATAGGGTGCGGGTGCGTCATGCGGACCTTGCCACCAGGGCCCTTCGGTGGAGTTCCCTATGTGGCCAAGGCACGTGTAAAGGGTTGTGCCGAAGAGTCAGGTGCGGGCGCGCCTTGCGGACCCTGTCACTGGGTCCTTTTTCAGTGGAGCTCCCTATGGGGCCACGGAGCGTATGAGGGGTGTGCCGACTCGGGAGCAGGTACACCATGCGGACTTTGCCATTTGAGTCTTCGATGGAGCTCCGTATGGGACCGCGACCCGTGTGAGGAGTTGTGCCGAATCCGCGACGCGTGAGTACGCTATGCGGACTGTGCCACCGGGGCCCTCGGTGGATTCCCCTGAGGTGCCTCGAAGCGTGTGGGGGTGTACCGCACCGGGTGCGGGTACACCCGGTGAGGTTCCATGGGGCCACGTCACGGGTGACTGTACGCCATGTGGACGGTGCCATTGGAGTCATTGTCTGAGTTCCCGACGGGGCCGCGAAGTGTGCGAGGGCCACACGTGAGGGCATGCGGAGAGCAATGATGTTGCTGTTGCTGCTGCTGCTGAGAATGATGAGGATGATGATGGCACGGATACCAAGATTGCTTCCAATAATTGCTGAAAGTATTCATGCTCGTCAGACTGAAGATGATGATGTTGATGATGGTGAGGATGATGCGGATGATGATTCGGATGATGAGGGTGATCATGTGTTAGGACTACCCTTGCCTCCTCCCCCACCGCCGCCGCCGCTTCTGGCCACCGTTGCTGGTTATCAAACTTCTCCGCAGTTGTCGCGGATCTGCTTAGGTGAGAAGAGGGGCCCGCCCCAGCCGGCAGGACCTCTCACTACCTTTAAGTCGGGCCTGTCCCTCTACAGGGGGGATATTCAAAGATAATCCAAACATAGTCTGGGGACTGTTTTCTTTTTATGCTTGAGCAGTTTTGGGGTATCTTTAGGGTATTTCTAAGTTTCCGCCAAAGATCCCCCATGTAGGGGGACAGGCCCGACTTAACACTACCTATGCCTTGATAGATACCTCTGCTTATCGGACATTACTGAGGACCATGTCGGACTCCATGATTCAAGCCATTCAGGAGTGAGACAGGGCAACATCAACAAATGGAACCACTGTACCGACCATTATGGTAGAATCTGCCGTTATTCTGGAAAGTCATTCGATGGTAGTGGTTTCGGTGATGATAATGATGTTGTTGATGATGATGGTGGTGATGACGACTATGCCGATTCTAATTGAGACGGCGGTGGTGGTAATGATGGTGGTGAATCTGTGTGTGGTGGTGAGGACGGTGTTGATGGTTGTGGTGATGGTGATGATCATGAGGAGGAAGCTGCGGATGGTGATGATGATGATGATGATGATGATGATGATGATGATGATGATGATGATGAGGACGATGATGTTGCTGATGATGATGACGGCAATGAGGATATGCGGAGGGCAGAGGGAGGGGGGTCAGATGGGAGGGAGGAGGAGAAAAGAGGAGGAGGAGGAGGAGGAAGAGGAGGAGCAGGAGGAGGAGGATGGCGCGGGGCGCTGTCTGTTCAATGCGTCGACCCATTACCACAGGACGGCTCGGACAAAAAAACAACTCGGCGGATGTCTGGAATTCTGTTCAGTGCGCGTGGCCGCTCCTGTGCCCGCTGCGGACGAGAAGCATGAGGAGCAGGCGGAGGAGGAAGAGGAGGAGGAGGAGGAGGAGGGGGAAAGAGACAAGGAACGGCAGAGGACGATTTCGAGGATGGGTGTACGGGCAGGGTCGGCAGGAATGGGGGCGCAGGAGGAAGGGTGCGGAAGATGGAGCAGCAAGGGGGTGCAGGGTTGCCGGAAGGTCGTCGAGCTTTTTTTTGGGCCATTCGCATGTACTTTCTTTTTGGAATCTTGCATTTCGGCGATCACCCCACATGACCTCGTGTGTCTGGGAAGGGGGACCGCGAAAGCCAGCGATAACACCTCGCACCCATGTTTTGCGCCGAGCCAGCATCCCGCCTTCATCCCTTATGATGCGTCACCGTGTTTCAATTGTTTCGCCTTTTCCTTCTCCTTCAGAAGACTCGGCAGGAAACGTTGGGATGCGCTCTGGATTTGGGCTGCGTCATGGCCATTGTACTCCTTCAGCACCAAATGTGATCGCGCTCTTGTCTGGCGGTCCTCCGTGCCGCGCTTTGGTGCCAGCTTGTCTTATCAGATACAGTGGCCGCGCCCCCCGCGCACTTGCGCTCATGGGCGAAGAAGAGACAGTGACAACCGGCGCGCCCTTTTCGAGCGCCGCCGTCGTCGTCGTCGTCGTCGTCGTCGTCGTCGTCGTCGTTCGAAGTGGTCGTCGATCTAAGTCGTCCTCGGCGTCGGCGTCGGCGTCGACGTCGGCGTCGTCGTCCCTTGCGGTTGCCCCTGCTTCGCCCCTGATGCGTGGGTCACGCCCTGCTGGTAGGCATGGCGCGGCACCCGGAGCGCGACGTCCCGGATAATGAGCGGCGCTTTCGCGAGCCCCCGCCGCCAGTTACTCAACAAAAAGGTGGAGAGGAGGAGGAGGAGGAGACCCGATGCTTCGGGTCGCGCACAAATAGAACCCCCAGGTAGTCCCGGCTGGCCGTACCAAGCCCCCGAGTAGTCCAAGGCGGTCTCGACGTCCTGCCGCCGCGAGGAGGCCCATGAATGCTACCGCCCCCGTCCCTCCGACAGTGACCTTCTTTCTGTGACGTGGCCCCCGGGGGCTTTCGACACTTTCCCTAGGGCCGGTTTTTCATCTTGCGTGCTTTGTTGACGGCTGCGGGGCCATGCACCATGCAGCGGATGTATGTCGGGAAGGGGACGGCGAGGGTGTCCGCGGTTCGGTCCGCTCGGCTGCGTCGCAGTCCGTTGCGTTCGGTCGGTTCGGTTCGATTCGGTGGGTTGTCGCGTCGCTGCTGCGTCGCTGTGCCTGGGCTTGTTGCGGCCTGTCGGCCTCGGTCGGTGTCGGTCTAGCTGTCGGCTCAGTCGGTTTTCGATCATGCTGTCTCAGCGACTGGCCTTGGAGGCTAGACAACGCCACGTCGCAGAATTCCAGGCCTCCCACCAGCCTTGGGATGAAGCAGATGGCGTCGAAGGACCGCGCCGCATCGTCGATGCATCGACGATGTGGTTCGAGAAAGAACCAGCTATATTATATTCTCTCCACCCGGACGCATCCTATCCCGATTTTTTTTTGTGTGGTGCAGGAAATGTGGTGCAATCTACGTGGTGCAACTCACCTTGTCGACTCTACTGCTCGCGCAATCATTCCACCCACCCGCCCGCAAATTTGTTTGCAAAACCCATGCGGAGGCGACTGGGCTGAGTGCTTTGCATTGGCTTGTGCATTTCTGCGGCCGCGCTCGCCCGTGCGTGCCGCTTGGCACTTCCCAGCGGGCAGTTCGGTGTGAGTCGGTGCCTTGGGCGGGCGCGGTATAATGGCAACGTCGACGGTGGACACAATAATGATAAAAGCCATGCGACGATGCTGACAGCGACGACGGCAAGGCCAAGGACGACGTCGATGCTGATGACGCCGACGACGATGACGGCGTCCCCGCGTCGGTGATGAAGGTTTTGGAAAGAGTTCGGCATGCGCTCGCGGCCGACGCGCGACAGTGGCAGGCATGGCATTATTTGACATTGATCGCGCCCCTCCCAGCACGCGCGCAAAGGCGGTCGAATGATTTCGGCATGCGACGCAGAAGACACGTTTGGCATACTTCCGTGAACTGTTGACAAAACCGCACCGTTTTCTTCGAAATCTGCATAGGCGCGAGAGCACGCTTTTGTTGAAATTTGACGTTGCAAAACCATGTGTGTTCACATGACACTCGGTTTTGAAATCGCTACGGCACCGAAGGTTGTTGACGGATTTCGGCATGCGCGCGCGGCGACGCGCGTGCATGCATGTCGTCCCATTTGTTGCAAAGGATTCTCGCGACGGCAAGCGCGCAAAGGCTTTCGAACGATTTCGACATGCGCGCGCACTTTCCGATTGGTCGCTAATCAACACGATGAAGCAAGTGGTGGTTCTCTTGAGAATTTGCAGGAGGGGGCCCGCATTGTTTTGAAAACCCGTGTTGCGAAACCCTGTTTGCTTATATACTTCAAGACGTTCGATTCTGATCCCCCAGCGAAACCTATAGTTTTTTTGTGTTTGTTTCTTTTGTTTTTGTTTAACAAAAACACACACACACACACACACACACTGGCACGCGCGCGCGACAACGCACGCGTGTGCACTTCGTTTCATTGTTCGCAATGGATTAGTCGCTACTGGTGATGTTTGATAAACGTGTGCGCGCATTTTTTTTGCAATGGATGGCGGGGGTTGGATACTGGCTGGGCTGGGGTGGTATGAGTTCATATTTCGGATGGACCATGGGGCAGAATCGTATGGAAATTGCACGTCCCAGAGGGGGGTAAATGCGGCCGCGGGAATGGAGTCGACTTTGGCTTTTGGATCGGAGAATATATGTGATGCAGTATTTTGCGGTGCAAGATATGTGGGGCAATCTATGTGGTGCATTGTTGTGTTTGCAATAAAGTACCAACTCTACTGTTCGAGCAATCATCCAACCCACCCGCCTGCAACTTGGCCTGCAGATCGCATGCGGCGGCGGTTGCGATGAGTGCTTGGCGCTGGCCGGAACATCTGAGGCCGCGCCAGCGCGCGCAGGCTCGCGCTCAAGGCGGGCGGCGGGGCGAATCGTTGGGCGCCCCCCAGCGCGTCGCGCAGGCCGCGCTGACACGCGGGCAGTTCAGCGCGGTTCGGTGACTCGGGCTGGCGGGTTGTCATTGTGACGTCAACAACGGCAGACGCGATGATGATATTAACGATGCTGGCGCGACGATGTCGAGGGCAAGGCCAATGGCGACGCCGATGGTGCTCGAGGAAGACGATCCAGTTTTTTTGCGTCGGCGGCGAAGGTTTTGAACATATTCTTACTTGCGCGCGCGACCCGCGCGCGCGAGCGGGGCGCGCGGTATTTTTCGGGGCGCGAGCAAAGGCGTTGAAGAACCCGACACGCGTTCGCGAGAGGCCCGTTTGGCCGACATTTGCTTGGCAGAGCCGCTGGGTTATTAGGAGCGCTTGTCTTTGAATGCCAGAGATGCGAAACCCTTTTGTCGCATGTCCCCAGGGCGCTCGATTTTGATTCCCGCGTGAAGCATTTTTTGGGGTTCAGGAGAACGGCGGCATGTGTGCGCGACGACGCGCGCGCGTAATCCCATTTTCGCAAGGGAATAGTTCAACTATGCATCTATGATCAACGGGCGTGCGCGCGCATTGTTTGCAGAGGATGCGGGGGGGGGTGCGCGCGGGCATGGCTGGGATAGCATGAACGTAAATGTGGACCGAACGACCGACCATAATCGCACTCAAGCTGCGCAGTCGCAGGGGGTGGGCGAACACCTCGGTCTCACGGAGGGTGGTCGATCAGAGTTTTTGCAAGATTATACTACGTGGTGCAATCTATATGGTGCAATAAGTTGCGATCAGCTTGACGTTGATCACTCCAATTTGGTTTGCAAAACCCATCGCGATGATTGCTTAGTGCTGGGTGGCGAGTCGGCGCGGCAGCGCTGGCGCGCGTTGGCTCGCGCGCAGATTGGCCAGCTAGTCAGGCGCGGCGCGCGGCCGCGGCGGCGCTGACCGCTGGGGGGCCACCGGCGCCTCGTCGCAGGCTGCGCTGACGCGCGGGCACTTCCGCGCGAGTCGGTGGCTCGCCCATGCGCGGTGCCACGGCGACGCCGACAACGGCATACGCGATGGCGAGTGTAGCAATGTTGGTGACGAGGGCGACGATGACGACGATGCCAAGGACTTCGACGACGCCGACGTTGATCACGCCGATGACGATGTTTGTGCTCGCGCGTCGGACATGAAGGGCTTTGATAATATACGGATCGCATTCAATGGCATCGGTGAAAAGCCGATGGTTCTCGTAAAAATTCGCAAGCGCGCAGACCTCCATTGCAACGCCATGTTGGTCAGCCGTGTGCATCCCGCGTGTTCGGCGTCTTCGATTCGGAACGCCAGAGGAAACCATTGTTTTTGAAACGAGCGCAAAACGACGCGAGGGCGCACTTCGTCCAATTTGCTGCAAGGTGTCCGTGCCACGTTGGTGCTTTGCTTTGGGGCAAGACATGGTTAGGCCAGTCAATGCCGGCCTGGTTGGGACGACGCGTACTCATATCTGGAATGGGCGATGGGCCAGAATTGCGTACATTGCATATCGGAAACGAGAACTACCAATCCCAGGGGGGGCGCTAGCAAAATCATGGTTGTTCAGATGGGAGAAGACATGTGGCGCGGGTTTTCTGGCGCAGCGCATGCCGTGCAGTGCAACTTACGTGGGGCAATATACCAGGCCGTACTTGCACTGGACAATTCCATTGGTCACGAAATCTGTCCACCCACTCAGCCGCCACTCGGCCTGCGAATCCCATGCGGCGGCGATTGCCATGGATGCTTGGAGCGGGCTGGCGTTTCGCCGCGGCCACGCTCGCGCGCGCAGGCTCGCGCGCAGAGCGGCCTGTCAGTCTGGCGCGGCCGACGCAGCCGCAGCGGCGGTGACCGCTGGGGGCGTCCCAGCTTGGAATCCATTGCCCCTCTGTTGTGAGGCAGTTGTGTAGGGCGATGTCCAGAGGGCACGGCGTCTGCAAAGTTCGAGCGAATTCTTGAGTTCAGTAGGGGTCGGGAATGACACGCCTCGACAAAATTGCGCCCACCCGAATCGCAGTCATCCGGGATATCTTTGGACTGCCGACACGTTGCTTTTCGTCGTCGTTCACCTCCGTTTTTCCGCCCCCTAGATGGTCGATTGCGGCCGCGGCTCCAGCGGAGGAGTGCCTTTTTCCTTTTTTTTTTCCTCGCTCCCCCTCGTCTGCATCCTTGCTCCACCATCCGTCGTCCCACCTTGTTCCAGTTCTTTTCTCCAACAAAGAAAGTGATGGGGCGGGGCGCCCACGTTCGCAGTGTAGCGCCTGTTCGGTGTCGTCGCGCAGCTAACCAGCCATGCAGACGGCGTGGCCAATGCAAACCTTCGGGGCGCATTCCAACAGCGGGCGGCGCTGGCCGCCGAACACATTCGTAGCGTCGCCGTGTAAAGGTGTTTGTGCCTGCGGCAACGTCCGCCACCGTGTAGCGCAGCGGTCCGAACGGCGACGTTTCGAGCTATGTTTGCTTAGACGTCTGGGATATCCGACATGTGTCATGTTGTCGGACTGGTGTCGGGCCTTCATGGGGGTCCCTCGCGGCCGTCTCGGTGGGGGCAGTTTTGGCGCCGCGTTCCACGGTGGCCGCCCTCGGCCCGGGATGCGTGCATCTGCAATCCCTGGGGGCCGCCTTGGGCCAGGGAAGTGTGTATTCGCATTCCTCCCTAGTTGTGGAAGCCGGCGTCGGTTTTGAGTTGGCAAAGTAGGGGTGCCTTCGAGGTGGCGAACGTTTACTTTTTCCGAAAAAAACGCAGGTCCAGGTATGATCAGTGTACACAGCTCGTGTCTCCAAATGTTTAATTTCGCGTGTGGGTCCACCGTTTACACAGATCTTTGTGTGACTTGTGCACAGATCGTGCTCCCATCTGTGGATTTGGAGTGAGCCATTCGCGGGTGGTGATGACCTGGCGGGAGGTTTCGCAAATCTGTCGGCTTGTCTTCGGGGGGGCTTTGCACGCGGGGGGAAACGCAGCTCGTGTGTCCAGCCGTGCAAGTGCTGAGCGCCACCTGCTGGGGCGGTGCATGGGCGCGGATTCCTGCCGATGTCCCTGCTGGTCACGGAGGTGGGCCGTGGTTTGGGGGGACAAGGCGCGGGCGCTTGGAGATGCTCAGCTATGAGAGGCGATGGGGCCGGGGGGTGACATGGGGAGGAGGGGAGGGGCGACAATGGGCCCGGGAGGAACTGCAGCATCTGTGCCAGCATCGCGAGGACGAGGCAATGGGGGAAGGGCACAAGGTGGGGGGATGACGTGCGCATGGCCGTGCGGGGGGGGGGCGCGGACGCAGGTGCGACGAGACGCGTTGAGGGGAGGAGGGCGAGGAGGAACAGCCTGCAGCCGCAGAGGGGGACAGGGGAATGGCGAGGAGAAGGGGGGGCATCATGAGGATGGGGGGTACTTGGATTGGCACGAGGAATATGAGGCGAAGGGGATTTGGCACGGGGAGGAGGAGGGGGATGGTGCAGGAGGGCGGGGCGGGCGCCAGCCAGTGCTCATCTGGGTGGTGCTTTGCGTACCCATGCAACACCGTAAAACAGAAACGACGGTTGATGATCAACGCTATCACGGCCGTCGCGCGCGGCTTGCGTCCAGGCCAAACGCTCGAGTCCCCGACGCTCCCTTGCGTCATGTTGATGCTGCCCGTTTTTGCCAGACCGCGCATGCGCAGATAGGCTGACCCTGGACCATTTTTATAGTGGCACACCATAGTTGGAATCCAAGCCTTAGCGCGTATCGCAGGCCGCGCGGGCACGCGGGCTTCTCAGTGCGAGTCGGTTGGTCGGGTGGGTGCGGTGCCATTGCGACGGCGACAACGAACGGCAGAGGCGATTGTGCTGTAACGATGCTGGCGACGGGGATTACGAAAACAACGGCAGGGGCAATGGCGGCGCCGATGCTGACCACGCCGATGACGATCATGTCAATGAATCGGCGATGAACGTTTTGGAGGGATTTCGACATGCGCGCGCGGCCGGCGGGCGCGGGTGGCCCGACACGGGCCGTGGGTCAAACTTGATGAGGGTTTGATGAACATGTTTTGAACTTTCTGGTTTTGTCAGGCTTCGGAAGCTCGCGCAAACTAGTATGGGACGCGTTTTTTTTCACTACACAACCTGTTTTGTTTTTGAAATAAACCAGTGGACAGACCATAGCCAGACAACAAAAAAACGTGTGTCTAGCACGGCCGATGTTCGAAATTTGGAATACACGTTTTTCCACACACGTTTATATATGTATGTATATATACATACATATACATATACATATACATATCCATATACATATACATATACATAATACATATACATATACATATACATATACATATATATATATATATATATATACATATATATATATATACATATATATATATATATATATATATATAACAAAACTCGCGCGGCGACGCGGGCGCGTTTGCGTGTTTGTGTTGTGATGGATTCTAAACGGTTGGTGGTTGTAAGCGCGGGTTGCGGTGCCCGTCGGTGTTGGAAACGGTGGGATGGCAGGGTGTATTTTGGAACGTGAGCGAGGAGGCACAATCATGTGTACATCGCAATGCGAGCCCCTGGGGTGGAGTCGATTTTTCAGGAAAGTCTTATGCGGTGCCAACTATGTGGTGCAATTCGCCAAGCCGGACGTGCACTTGTCAACTCCGCTACTCGCGCAATCATCCCACGCGCCCATCCGCAACTTGGCTTGCAAAGCCCATGCGGCGGCGATTGCGATGGCACCTTGGCGCTGGTTGGCGCCTCGCTGCGGCCGCGCTGGCGCGCGCAGAACCACGCAAAGCGGCCAGCCAGTCAGGCGCGTCCGACGCGGCTGCGGTGGCACTGACCGCTGGGGACTTCGCATGGCGTCTCGAAGGCCGCGCGGGCAATTCAATGCGAGTCGGTCGGTTTGGCGGGCGCGGTGTCATGGCGACGTCGACAATGGCAGACACGACGATGATAGTAACGATGCTGGTCACGACGATGACGATGACGACGGCAAAGCCAAAAGCGATGACGATGGCTTCCACGCGTCGGTCATGAAGGTTTTGATTTGATTTCGATATGCGCGCGCGGCCGACGGGCGCGAAAGGCCCGAATGGTATTATTTGATCAGGGTCGTGCCGCCTTGGCTCGCGCGCGAGGGCGGTCGAATAATGTCGATATGCGCGCGCGAGGGCCCACCCGTAAAAATACAAAAAGCGCGCAGACCTTGTCTGACCAACCGCTTTGCAACATCATATTGTTGTTCCCATGTTGTTCCGGATAGTTCGGGACTTGAAAAGGCTCGGCAGGCGCGCGCGCGACGAAACGCGCGTGCGCATGTTTTCCAATTTGCCGCAAAAAGGCCTTCAATGCATTACTGATTTGTAAGAAAGGATTGCTTGCGCATGGTAGGATCTGACAAAACTGACGGGGCCAGTCGATACGGGCCTGGATGGGATGTTTGGAGTTCATCTTCATAATTAGCGATGGGCCATAACAGTGCGTAAACAGCACACCGAACGAAAAAAAAATGATCATCCAAGCGGGGGGTGCATTGTAGATCCGGGTTCTTTTCTTGAAAAAGAAAACCTATGTGGTGACAGTTTTATTGTGCAATGTGCGACGTGCGGCGAGGAAACGGCGACGGAGCGGCGACGGCGACCACATAGCCGCCAGACCAACCACGCGGCTCAGACGAGGGGCGGCGACGTGGCGGAGACGGGGCGGCGACGGCGACCGCATAGCCGCCAAACCGCCTTCAAGGCCCAGACCACGGAAAACGACGTGGCGGCAATTTCGACCGACGCCGCCAAACCGCCCGCGCGGCTCAGACGACGGGCGGCGACCAGGCGGTGACGGGGTGGCGATGGCGACCACAGCTACCCAACCGCCCACGCGGCTCACACGACTGGCGGCGACGACGCGGCGACGGGGCGGCGACGGCGACCACATGGCCGCAAGACCGCCCACACGGCCCTGTCCCCTTGAATGAATAAGCGCCCCAACGTACAAACAGAGTTTCGTCAACGAGGCCCAGTCGCCGACGCGGCGACAGGGCGGCGACGGGCCGTCGGACCGCCCGGCCCAGCATGCCGAGACGACGGGCAGCGACGAGGTGGCGACGGGGCGGCGATGGCGAACACACAGCTGCTTTATCAGAAGTAAGAACCCCTGAGTGTGATCACTGTTTGGGGGCCCGCTTGCATCCGTACTCTCGCATCCCAAGAAAGTCATTGACGTGAGGAAACAACGGTTTGGTTCCAGTAGCCAGCCTGGCTTTGCTTGTCCAGAGTCCTGTGGGCAGGCGGGCGGACGGAGGCCCACAGCACGGGTACGGGGCGCTCTGGGGCCGAGCTTCTGCAGAGCCCGAGGCTGCGCCACGAGGGGCCGCCAGTCCCACACGCCCCGGGGGCGCGAGGGGCTCCCTCCCGGACCTGTACTTCGTCGCCGCCTGGAACGAGTGGAACGAGCAGAACATCCTGGAGCCCGACGACACGTACCGCTTCCAGCTCCTGGAGGCCCTGAAGAGAAGCCTGGCGGGGCAGGGCGGGGGGAAGTCCTCGGCTCCGGCCGTGGTGACACCAGAGGGTGGGGGCGAGGGGCCCGGCGGTCCTGCGGAGGCCGCGCCCGGCGACGAGCTGTTCAGCTCATTAGCTTGTGGCGCTGCCCTCGAAGGCAACAAACACAAGCACCTAAACATAAACTGTTGGCGCTCCGCGGAGATTTCGTGGATCCGCGCCTGGGCCCCCCGGCGGCGCCTCCGGCGCCGCCCCTGGCCAGCCTGGCGCGCTCCGCGCGCCAGGGAGGGGGGTCCAGCGCGAATCCAAGAAATCCGCGCGAAGGGGCAAGTGTGCATGTGTATGAAGTCCCCATGTCTGAAATGGTGTTGTTGGTGTCTGCTTACCCCTCCGTGCAGGACGAGGTGATTGGAGGACGTCAAGTTCCATCAATAATCAAGCACGCCAGTACGTATTGCCTGCCTCACTCAGCATCGTTTCCGTAAGTCGTGTGCTCTTCCACTCGCGTCATCACCTTGCCCGCTTGCGCTCGTGCTGTCAGCCCTCGCTTCCTCAGCCTCTCCCGCTCTCAACACACTTGCTTGTCATCGCCGTTGCTCTAACCGTCGCCCTTACTCTTAACAGGCGAATAACAGTATAAAATACACTTTTTTGCTGTCGGAGGCGCCTGTCCCAGGGCGGCTGGAAAGTTTATACCCTTACGGTGGCACGTCAAGGTATAGATTTTCAAGCCACCTTGGGGCAGCGCCCCCGGTGCCAAGACAGTTTATGTTATACCGCTCTTCGCCCGCTAATACTCGTCCTTCTATTCGCTCTCACCATCGCGCAGACCTTGTACGGTTGGTCCGCGCAGCGATGACGCAGCGACGGCCCCGGCGCGGAGGTTGTCTTTCGAACGCCGCCAGGGGGCCCGAGCGGGCTGATATCGAACAATCTGCCCCAGAGGGAGCGTTCACACTCTTCCGCGCCACCCAGTACACCAACTCGTAGCCCCATAGGGAGCTCCACCGAAGGCCCCAGAGGGAGCCTTCGCATGCGTGCCCCAGAGGAAACTCCACCGAAGGCCGCGCCACCCAGTACAGCGCTGTGTAGCCCCACAGGCAGCTCCGAAGGCTCCCCTGGGAGAGTAGAACAACATCGATAAAATGATGGGCCGAAGTCCAGCAGAACAGGAGGGGGGAAGAGATGGATGGGGACATACATGACATCATGCATTGATCATTACCTCGAAGGAGGGGTCCCCTCCCCCGCCTCTCTCTCCTCGGGCGGGACTGCGATGAGGAGAAGTCCCTGCACGGCGCTCCAGATCGTCCTCGGAGCCCTTTCCCGTTCTTGTTTGGGACGGCCGCGGCGCTCGACACGTCCTCCGGACCCGTCAGCGTTCAGAAATTCCCGACATGTCAGATCCCACTGTCCGTGTCCGAGCTTCGTCTTGCTCCCCTTCCCCCTCCTCCCCTTCCCCCCACCCCACTGCAGCCATTTCGATCCCGTCGAGTCGATTCTGCACGAGTTCGGCGGGCCCGGCACACTCCGACGCGAGTCCGATGAGCCCGGTGAGCGGCCCGACGCCTGGCTGCAGTGCATCCTGGCACGGCCGATTCGGTCGGAACCCAGTTCCTGGCCGACGCGTCCCGATCCGACGTACATCCCAGTCCGGTCAGACTTCCAATTCGATGTCGACTCTGACCTTGCCCTCGCTTTCCCACCCCCCTCGCGCCGCCCTCCCCCCAGGGGGCAACGGTCGGGGGGGGGCCTCGTCAGGGGAGGATGCATCGACCTTTAGTCCCCCTTTCATTGCGGACGCGATAGCCCACCCCCATCATGACTGTGGGCCGTCGCTATCGGGGGCCTACAGTCGGGGCGCTGAGGAAGGAACCCCTTTCGTTGCGGAGGGGCTCGGTGTTCCTTGATTGTTTCAAAGTTTGCCTCGGGTTTTCCTGAGGTTTTAGATGGGAAATCGAGGTTGAACTTTGGAAGAAGGGGCCTCGTTCCTTATTTCGGGTTCCTCATGTCAACGCCTCGACTGTACCCCCCATTCATCGCCGGTTCCAGCTCGCTGCTTCCCCCCTGAGCCGCTCCCACCCCAGCGTGCCCCTTCACCCTCGACCACACGTAGCAGTGACCCTTCGCCGGAGTGACCTTTGGTGCGGGCCCATCGGGGCCCGCCCGATCGCTGAATGCATTGCGACAGCAGCGGCTTTCGCGCCTGGCGTTGTCCCCAAAGGGCCCCCCTTGGCCGCGCACGAAAGGTCACTCTTGCCTAGGGTCACTCTTGCGTGTAGCCGACACCCCCGCGCCAGGGAGGGGGGCAGGAGAACATCTCCATGAGAGTGCCACCGCTCTCGCGGTAGGGGGCCGCGGCCGGGCCTCCCGTCCCAGCGGCGCAGCCCACGAAAAGGTGACACCGCTTGACCTCCTCTTCCTCCTCCTCCTCCTCGTCCTCCTCGTCCTTCTCCTACTCCTCCTCCTCCTTCTCCCCCTCCTCCTCTTCCTCTCCTCCTCCTCCTCCTCCTCCTCCTCCTCATCATCATCATCATCATCAGCATCATCATCATTATCATTATCATCCTCATCCTCATCCTCATCCTCATCCTCATCTCCTCCTCCTCCCCCTCCTCCTCCTCCTCCTCCTCCCCCTCCTCCCCCTCTTTATCCTCCCCCTCCTCTCCTCCTCTCGTCGTCGTCCTCCTTCCTCCTCCTCCTCCTCCTCCTCGTCGTCCTCCTCCTCCTCCTCCTCCTCCTCCTTCCCCCCCCTCCTCCCCCTCTCCTCCTCCTCATCATCCTCCTCCTCTTCCTCCCCCTCCCTCTCCTCCTCTCCTCCTCCTCCTCCTCCTCCTCCTCCTCCTCCTCCTCCTCCTCGTCGTCCCCCTCCTCCTCCTCCTCCTCCTCCTCCTCCTCCTCCTCCTCCTCCTCCTCCTCCTCCTCCTCCTCCTCCTCCCCTCCTCCCCCCCTTGCCCCTCCTTGCCCCCTCCTCCTCCTCCTCTCCCTCCTCCTCCTCCTCCTCCTCCTCCTCCTCCTCCTCCTCCTCCTCCTCCTCCGTCTCCTCCTCCTCCTCCTCCCTCCTCCTCCTCCTCCTCCTCCTCCTCTCCCTCCTCCACCTCCCCCCCTCTCTCCTCCTCCTCCTCCTCCTCGTTCTCCTCCTCCTCCTTCTCCCCCATCTCCTCCTCCTCCTCCTCTTCCTCCTCCTCCTCCTCATTCTCCTCCTCGTCGTCCTCCTCCTCCTCCTCCATCCTCTTCCTCCTCCTCCTCCTCCTCCTCCTCCTCCTCCTCATCCTCCTCTTCCTCCCCCTCCCTCTCCTCCTCCTCCTCCTCCGTAGCCATTTTGGCTCAAGTCCGTAGCGTGGCCCGAGCGTCAACAGCGGACGTGAGCATTCTGGCAAGGGGGCACCTCTCAGGTGCACGCGGCCCCAACTGCTCTCCTGGCTTGCCAGGCATACTAACGTACCTTCTTATTCTTGCCTACCACGGCACGCCGATGGGAACGGATGAGTTGCGCTCAGCCCCGTGGCGTGCGGACGAGTCGACGAATAAGAAAGCCACTGTTGTGCGACGCAAGCTACACAGGCCCCCTCTCTCAGGGCCCGCGTGGCGATGCGGTCATTGCGGATGTGCACGCAACGAAGAAAGATGGCAGTGGTGCAAACATTGTTTCTCATATCGCACACCAGAGCCAGGATGGACCCAGCCGCAGCACTGGCCGTCTCGTGCAGGCAGGTCGTGGTCAGGATCAGACAACTCGTGGAATGACAGCCGTCAGAGTTCAGAGCACCGTCTGCCGCCGGCTGCCGGCCTCCAGCCAGGTCCGAACTCATCCACGCCAGCGCTGGCTTGGACGAGCCTTGATGGCCTGGACGCTGCTGAGCTGGGTTCTCTGCTGGCCATCGCCAACAAGACGGGAGACAAGAACTTGGCCACGCGGGTTCAGGCACGCATCAACATCCTTGCAAAGCCTGCCCCCCCTGTCATCGAGAAGACCATGGAGCAGCGACTGGCAGAATCGCGACGTGAATGTGGCAAGCTCCTTCAACGGCTCTCTCGCGAGCTGGACAAGCATGACAAGTGGAAGGCCCAGCTGCAGGAGCACGAGGACTACATCATTGGCCTTCGTGCAGAGTTGGAGATCATGGACACCCAGCATGCGGAGCTCGCCCGCAAGCTCGCGGCCACAGGCAAAGCTGCTGCACCTGAACCTGGACCAGCGCCTGCTCGGATCAAGCTGGAGGACCTCGTGTCTGGCAAGGTGGGCACCCTGGACTTCGACCTGGGCCTCCTGTCAGACATGCCTGATGGATTGGAACTGGATGATGACGATCGCCTACGGATCGAAGAACGTACCACACAGTTACGGGAGCTCCTTTCCACGAAGGCCAAGGATCTTTTCGCCTCAGCTCTGGACGAGGCCAAGCGAGTGGTCCAGGAGCATGAATCACAGAAGACGCGGCTACTGGCCAAACGTCGTCGAGTGCAGGATGTTGAAGATGAACCCCAGTCCAAGACAGGAGGTGCAGAGGGTTCCCAGCCAGAGTCAGCCAGTGCGGGTGGTGATGGTGCGGAGACCACTTCGGAGCCCCTTGGCCAAGCGGCAGAGGGACAAGGCTCCCGACCAGAGCAACAGGCACAGTTCGCCTCAGTTCGAGAGAGATTGGCCAAGTTCGAGCGCAGGGGGGGCCCCAACAGCGAGTGCCCAGCAGCTACATGATTCAGGGACATCTGTGTCAGCTGGGGTGCTCAAGCTCATCTCTCGCACGCCGCCTTTCCAATGCTACCCAGGCACGGACATTCCATATGGATGTGCATACCACGTTCTTGCTCATGCATGTGCTCCCTCTGGTCGAGCTATGCAGTCTGACAAGTTCTACTACGATGCGCTGGACACAATTCGGAAGGTCCGTGCTATGATGCAGTGGGCCCCACCTTCGATTTCTGTTGAAATGACGGGGACCCCTTCGACGTGTACACCGTGTTCTATGCCGTCTGGGACTGCGAGCAGTACGGCTTCGACGTGGGCGAGTCCGTCTGGCGCCATTGGCGCTACGGGCACTCTTTGGAGCCACGTCCTTCCTGATGCATCGCCTTTCGCACGGTTAGTTTCTCAGCCAGCTGGAGGGTCTCAGGCGTCAGAGCGCAAATCCTGGGCTGCCCAGAGCAGTGCAGGTTCACAGTCGCACCTGGGCTTTCCACCCGCCAGGGCACCCTCTCCACAGGAGGCGGGGGTCTTAGCGCGTGTGGGTGGGAGCTCAGGAGTTTGCTGGACTCGCCTATCTTGTGGGGCAGGCAACATTGGTGAAGTCTTGACGGCAACCGATACACCACAGGCCATGGGCCTGCCGCCTGCTGACGAGACCAGAGCGATGGCAGTACAGGACTATGCAGATATGCGAGCTGACCTCAGAGAATGGGCAGCGGCTTGGTTTGACATACATCTTGGGCTAAACGCTGGTAGTGGTGACTGGCGGCTTTGGTGCGAGGCGTTTCTGCACACGATCCTGGAGCGACAAGGGAACGAGCCCTTGCGCCGGTTGCTGCAGGCCTGGTTTCCAGGCCGCACCTTACAATCAGTCATGGAAGAATTATGTGAGTTGGCATGGAGGCAGGTCTGAGCCCAGGCGAGCGGCTTTCCTTGATCGGCTACGTACGGCGCCCAGTGAGAGACGTGTTCAGCTGCAGCGCCGCCACTGGGAGCGTTTGGATGAGCTGAGAGCCATGTTCAGGAGACTTTTGGGCTCGGCTTTCCCTACGGTGCGGCTTCCGCGCCCCAGACAGCCTGACCCAGAGGATGACCAGGCAGACGTTGATGCTTGCATTGCTCACCTGGTGATGTTGGCGGATGCGGAGACCAGGCTGGGACAGGCCAATCATTGTTCGGTTCCACATGCCATGCAACATCAGGCTTCTGAGGCACCTAACGGTCATCGGTTTGCTCCTCTGCCTGTGGACGGAGGTCGAGGTCGATGTGATGACTTGGACGATCCTGATGCTGACCCCTTCGCCAACCTCGATGACCAGTTCGTGAACGAGGAGGAGCTCTGTACTGTGGAGTCTAACATAGGATGCAGGCCTGACGCCATAGGCTCCAGCCCTACCCCGTCTCGGGAGGTTTCTCTTGGAGGCCCTGAGGCCCCGCTCTTGGGTGTCTCGGGGAACTCCTCGTCGTGTCTGCCTTTGCTGGATGCCGCCCGTCCTCGGGACTGTAATGTGGAGTCAGGAACGCAACGTGGCAGACAGACCCACGCTGGTGACAATGCGCCCACATACGAAGAGCCAGCTGTACTGCAGCACCTTACGTCCGACAAGCATGTGACGATGCTCTTCGCGAACATCACCGAATGGGGCGCCAAGGTTCGCAGCTTTGTGAACAGTCACAAAAACACCTATGCCATCGTTGGGCTGGTCGAGACCCATGTCCCCGACACCAAGTGCGCCCACTGGACCGAGGAGCTCAGGAAGGACGGGTGGAGGCTCTCTTTCAAGGCAGGTTTTGCTTCGGGGAGGTCGGACTCAGGCATCTCGGCAGGTGAGTGGCTTCTCACGCGCTGTCACTTGGCAGCTACGCAGTTCGATCGTTTGAGGGACCAGGCGATTGCTGACTCGCGCATGGATCCCTTCAAAGGCTTCTCGGCCACGACGCTGCACCTCAAGTCAGGGAACCTCGTATACATTGCAGCGTACTTGCTACCGTCACTGGGGATTGCACAGTACAACAATGAGGTGTTGGTAGCTTTGGGCGCTTTTACCAAAGCACTGGCAGATCCTTGGGTGATTGTGGCGGACTGGAACAATGAACCGCAGACCCTGTTGGATAGTGGATGGGTGGACAGACTCAGAGGTCGGCTTGTGCTTCCGAACTGCAAGTTCACGTGCGACAAGGGCCAGGGACGAATGTATGATTATGCTATTGTCTCTAAGCAGCTTACTTCGGACCGCATCAGGCTCAGGCAGGTAGTAGCGGTACCTTGGAAGACTCATTGCGCTATTGCCATTGATGTACTGGACGCCAAGCGGACTTGGTGGCATAGGTCGTTGGAGCTTCTTGAGCCGCTACCCAGGGCCAACCGTCCTCAGCAAGAGCCAAACCCTGACAGCAAGCGATCCCTGAAACGCAGGCAGGTTGCAGATGCACGCAGACAGGAACTTCCTGAAGAGCTACGCGAGGCTTTCGATGACCTGCCTTCTCAGGAGCCACAGCCAGAGGGCCCCAAGATCGCGTTCAAGGTGGAGCAGGAAGAATGGCTCAAGATCTATGGCGAAGTGGAGCAGGATACCTTCAGACCACGTACAGCAGCAGCACAGTTGTCGACAGGCCCCCTGTCGACCTGGAGGCCTGCTCAACGCTCCACCTTGGATGATAGATATGGGCGATGGGTTACTACATTGGAGCGGTCTATTGTGGCGG